CCCCCCCCCTCTTGTCTGAAGCATCACTGCGGCGTCTGCTGCCTGGGGGCCCCTTGGGGCCCCCAGGGGCCCCCGGCCCTGCAGCAGTTTGTTTGCTGCCGCTGCTGCTGCTGCAGTCTTTTGCTGCTGCAGCTTTTGTTCATGAGGGCCTCGTAGCAGCAATATGTCATCATCTGATGAGGCCCCTGGGGGGCCCCCCTTCAGTACCATCAGTACCCTCTTTGGGGGCCCCCAACAAGGGGGCCCCCTTGGGGGCCCCCCACCTCTGTGGTGGGATTCAAATGCAGGTAGCAGCAGGAAACGCAGAAGGGGGCCCAGGGGCCCCCCTAATCCAGGGGGCCCCCTTGAGTCAGGGGGGCCCCCCAGGTAAAGAGGGTACAGGTTGGGGGGCCCCCCCCTTTGATACAAATACAGGGGGCCCCCATTTATATTGTTTGTTAGACCTGTGGCCGTCTGCTGCTGTCTGCATCCTTGCAGATCTCATGAAGCAGCTGGGGGCCCCCCACCCCCCTTTCTTTCGCTTCCTCTTCTCTCACTACAGGCCCCCTTGGGGGCCCCCCTGGGGGCCCCCAGGGGGGCCCCTAGAGGGGCCCCTAGAGGGGCCCCCAAAGAAACACGGGGGCCCCTTGTCAGGCGGAAGCAGCAGGAGGAAAGCATGCAGCAGCAGCAGCAGCAGCAGGGATCTATACAGAAGCAGTAGCAGCAGCAGCAGGGGGAGGAGCAGCAATGGCTGCAGCAGCAGCATTACGTCGGCGCGGATGGCAGCAGCAGCAGCAGCAGCAACTGCAGCAGCAGCACAGAAGTGTATGGCGGATGCAGCAGCAGCAGCAGGAGCGCTTGATGCCTCTGATATAGAAGATGAGGGGGCCCCCTGGGGGCCCCTATTAGACAGCTGGGCGGCTTCTGTTGGGGGTACCCAGGGGGCCCCCCGTAAGAAACGTTATCTGCTGCGGTTGCTGCTGCAGCAGGGGCCCCCCACACTCAGGGGCCCCCAGGTGTATACACAGATGCATGTTCGTGGGTTCAGCCGCTGCAGCAGACGGCAGCTGCTGCTGCTGCTGCTCGCAGCAGCAACATCAGGGGCCCCCCCACCAAGCCCGCAGTGGCTGCAGTACCTTACCCTTCTGCTGCAGCAGCAAACACAAGCAGCACCAGCAGCAGCAGCAGCAGCAGCAGCAGCAGCAGCAGCAGCAGCTGAAGACATGGCAATGCTTGGGTTTGCACTGCCGTACTTCCCGCCTCTATCGATGCTTCCACTTTCGTACCCTACAGCAAACAGGGGGGCCCCCCAGGGGCCCCCAGGGCAGAGCGGGGGCCCCCAAGGGCCCCCTGAGGTAGGGGCCCCCCAAGGGCCCCTAGGGAATACGGGGGGCCCCCAAGGGCCCCTAGAGGAGACG